CATGAAATATAATGAGAAGCAAGGAGTTCATGTGTGGGGTAGTGGGAAATAAGGCTATAAATATGTGTTGGGGCAAGATTGTAGAAGGTCTGAACACTCAACTGAGAAGTTTGTGATTTGGACCTGTAGGAAATGGGGAGCCATTAAAGGTACTTGAACAAGGAAGGGACGTCAAAGCTAGTGTTGCCAGAAGAGAGCAATGAAAGCTGGAGCCAGTGAGGAGAAGGAAAATATACAGGATGGCTCTTCTTTGAAGCCAGCATGGGCTGTGTAACATGTGCCGAGGAACTTTTCCCTTGCCCAGAGAGCCAATAATTCTTAGAATTTAAAGGGACCTTCAGAATATTGTAGGTAAGGAAACAAAGGCCCAGAGTGTGGTAATGACTTGTCAGGTCACAAAGCAAGTTAGTAGAAAAGACAGGTCTCTGGATCTCAGCCCAACTCCGAAAACTTCGGCATTCCTTGGCACTACTAGCTTTCATAGGAGACACAGATATTGACTTGACCCATCTAAAGGGCTGGATCTGTCATGAATGTGTCCCATTCTACTGTCTCAAAGCCCTGTCTAATCTCCAACCCAATACCCTGCCCTACCTAGGTCCCTGGCCCTGTACCTCAAAACCTTCTACTTTCTGATGCTTCATGAAACAGCATCTACTTTCTCTTTCCAGCGACTTCTCCCTTTTTACCACACCTACATCCTATTCTCCTAGTCTTGGAAGGGTTTATTTATACAGGAAAATAGTAACAACCAATTTTATGCAGATATGGTGACTGCTAACAAAATTATCTGTTCAATGCAGATAATTTCTTTTTCTCTATTTCTGTTCTCCAGAGTATTTATCTATGAGAATTAAATTCTCAGAGTCCATGTTCACATTCTCCCTCCCTACCCCCCAAGCTTTGAAACTTAATTTTCCAGCAATAGCCCCTGGGAGGACAGGACCTTTGCCATTTTCTACAAATGAGAAAGGCCAAAGCCGAGGCTTGCCTTGTGCCCTACTACACTTGACTTTGGCCTAGCAGGCTTTTCCTCTCAGCCAGGATAAGGCTGGCTTTACTTAGTGGACAGCTGTTCTCATGGTATATAGGAAGGACAGAGTACATAGTGAGGCAACTCCCAACCTTCATAAATGTAACCTTCTTTAGTTAATTTCCTGGGGCTCTCTCCTGGCCTGAGATCTCATAGTGCCTGGTACTTAATTCTGGACTGCTGGAGCCCACCTAATGTGACATCTCATTTATAGTCTGATCTAGAAGATTTTACAGAGACACTCCATTCCTTTTCAGAGACCTCCCCATTCAGGCTGCATCCTAGAAAATCATGCTAAATAGTAGTAACTCTGGCCCTCCTCACTAGGCTCCATGACTGGTCAGGTGGATGGGTGATGATGGTGGACACTTCTCCTGGGAAGAACCAGGTATCCTCAGGTCACCTAGCTCAAGGTTTCCTTAATGAATATCAGCTCAGGAAAAAGATGGTTTTCTAATTTCACAGTATAAAAACATTATCTGTCTGTCTATCTGCCTGTCTGTCTCTCTTTAACCTCTCCTTTATCTCTCTCCTTTTTGTTTTCTTTCTCCTGTTGTATATGTTTCTTTTCTTTGGCTCTTTCTCTCCTCCTGTCTTTCCTCTGTCTCTGTCTCTCTCCCCTCTTCTTTCCTCTCTTCTCACTAACCCCCTTTCTCCTTCTCTCTTTCTTTTCTCCAGACAGCAGAATAATTGGTAAATAAGTACCCAGAGTTCATTTTTTACCCTTCCCCCACCCTCCAAACTTTCAAACTTTGCTAAGTCCTAAAAGGAGAGGACCTTTGCCATTTGCTGCAGTTGATGGAGGTCAAAAGCAGACAGCTGCTCCTTGGCCTCTGCTAAGTTTGGCCTTGGCCTTTCGGCCTTTTGTGCAGGCTGTCTTCGCCTAAAAAGTAAATGGAGATGCGGCTAACCTTGCATGGTCAGTGAGGGGATAGCAGCTCATGTGATGGATGTGAAGAACTCTGGCAAAGGCCTTTGTGTCTCACAATCTCTCTCCTATGTGATTATCACACACTGCCCAAAATACCAGCACTAGAGAATGACTTGTTTGGGTCAATCTCCAAACTCCTCTTTAAAACTGAAGATGACACCCAAGACAAGGAATGCATTAAAAGTCACAGACTTTCAGAGGGAGAAGGCCCTGGGAGGCTCCTGATCTTACATTGAGGTAAGGGGCCCCTCTCCAAGTGGCTATCTAACCCATTACCCAATGACTTTAAGTGGGGGAGAGCCCGTTACCTCCCCAGGATCCCATTTCACTTCTAAACAGGAAGTTTTTCCTTAGGCTAAGCCTAAATCTGCCTTTCTGCAACTTCTACCCACTGTTCCAAGTTCTTTTCTCTAGGGCCAAGCAGAATAAACCTAATCCCTCTTTCATATGACAGTCTTTCAAAGACTTGGATTCATTATCATGTCCCCTTTAAGCCTTCTCTTCTCCAAGGTAAACATCACCCCTTCCTCCAGATGATCCTCATGTGGCATTATCTTAAGGCCTTTCCACCATCCTGGCCTTGGTATGAATTAGTTATCCATCATTTTTCCTTTTGGACAGCCATGGCCTTTTGGAAATTTTGCAAGTGTGGAGGAGGAGGGAGGGTTGGAAGAAAGATTGTGCTGTGCCATGAAAATAGGAGGTTCTGGACAGAGCTCCTGAAAGGAAGAAAAGCTTCTGGGAAGGGGAGGTGGAAGAATGTTGAAAAAAACCTTATTCATAGACTGTCAGAGCTGGGGGGGCTTGGGGATCATCTAGTCTCACCCTGTCATTTGGTGGGGGAAGAGCATCGACCAAAACAGGAATGACCCCGGTGTGCGTGAATGGGACAGTGAGGAGACCATATGGCTGAAGCTCCATAGGGACCATCACAGGATCTAGAGCTGGAGGGAACCTTAGGCCCCCTTATTTTACAGCTGAGGATATTCAGGCCTGAGAGATGAAAGAGATTGCCCGGCACTGCCCGGGTCAGTGACTGGCAGAGCCAGGGCTGAGACCAGGATGTCCTGACTCCCAGGCTAAGGTTCTTTCATGACATCAGCATCGAGCTGCCCCTGGAAAACTTAGTTCATTTCACAATTTTGTGGAGGGGGAGCTTTGACCCTGGAGATCCGACTTGAGTAATATCACCCAGGATACTGGGGTGAAGGACAGAGAGGGACCAGTTATTGGATGTAAAGAGAGAAGGAAGGAGTATTACCAGGATACCCTGAAAAATGTGTGTATGTATGTGTGAATGTGTGTATGTGTATATGTGTGTATGTGTATATGCACATGTGTGTGTATTTATATAGTTGTTATACAAATATTTATATTGTGATATGCTTATATGTGTAGTATATGTATAAATGTATCTATGCGTATATGTGTGAGTGTGTATATATATGCATTTGTACATGTATGTGTATGTATATGCATGTACACACGTGTGTGGTAGCTTTATGTGTAATATGGAATCACATGTGCTAGTGGAGGATGAAAAATCAGAAAAACAAACAGTAAGACTGTGGTTTTTTGTATTCCTGCTGTTAGATCAAAGTCTCAGTTAAGTAGTTCTACACAAAGCTAAACTGTGTAGGGAACAATGAAAACAGGCAAGACCTTTGCTGTCCGAATTCTTCCTCAGATCATCTGAATCTTTAGTCTCAGAAACATCTCTTCCCACCCCAGAGGAGTTTAGTGACCTACCCAAAGTCATACCAGCAAGAAGCGGCAGAGCTGAGATGCTGTGATTCCATTTTCAGCATTTCATTTTGTTTTGTTTTTCCCCATTGAACAACACTACCATAGACCCTCCAAACCAGAAGATCTTAGAGATCATCTAATCCATCTTCCCACCTAACGCAGGAATCCCTCTGCAACATCCTTAACTGATGGCCATCCATTCTTTGTGTGAACACCCCCAGTGATGGGGCACTCATTACTGTATGGGGGAACCCATTCTGTTCTTGGGTAGCTCAAATTGTCAGTAAGTTTATCCTTATTTGAAATCTGCTTCTCTTTACTTTCTACCCACTCATCAGTCAGTCTAGTGCTTCTTCCGGGAACTATAAGGCCTCCTTGATTCAGTAGGCTTTCAGGTTTTTGAAGACATCTATCCTCTCTCCCTCAGTTTTGCCTAAGCTAAATATGTCTCTTCATTTAATCCTTCCCTGTGATATGCTTTCCATATTGCTCCACCATCCTGGAGGCTTTCCAACTAGTCAATGTCCCAGTTAAAATACGGTGGTGCCCAGAACTAGACCCCAGATGTGATCTAACCAGGACTGAGTGCCTGGCATGATTTCCCCACCGTTGTCTGATCACTATACTTCTGTTACTTTGGCATAAGATAAAATTATTTTTTTGGTCTGCCACATCACACTGAGAAACTTGAGGTCTATTAAAACCCTCTGGCCTTTTGCGTGTGGACTTAAATGAGGCCTCACTATCCTATAATTCTGCAATTGATTTTTTTTTAACCTAAGTTACCTTAGCATGATGTCTGGCTCATTGATTGACCAACAAATATGTATGACAACAAAATAGTATGACAAAGCAAATGTCGGCAATCACCGTGTGTATGGGTCCAGCTTACATATTGTACTCCATTGGCTCATAATCTTCCCAAAGGCCCAATATGTGGCCAGTTACTGTCCCTAGAAAGCCTCTGATCACAATGACAACTAGAAACGACTACAAAGATCACAAAAACATCGCATCTGAAAGATGGGAATTTAGGAAGTCTATTAGTTGAATTTGGACTTCAACATGAATTCCTTCTACAATATCCCCAACAGATGGTCATTGGCCCTTGCTTGAAGAGCTCCAGTGAGAAGAAAATCTAATCTTCTCTTTCAGGAGTACTGGGGGAAAGAAGGAGAAAGGGAAGCTGATAGCTGAAAGGGGAGGTACTAGTGACTGCAATGGAAACAATAATGTCAGCCTGGCCAGATAGATTCCATTCTTTCTCTTGTTTCTTTCATGTTCCTCTAGGCTCGCCCCAAAGGTGAGGGTCTGACTCCGTACCAGGGCAAGAAGCGTTGCTTTGGAGAATACAAGTGCCCCAAGTGCAAAAGAAAATGGATGAGTGGGAACTCTTGGGCCAACATGGGCCAAGAATGTATCAAGTGCCACATCAATGTGTATCCTCACAAGCAGGTAAGAGGGGACAGAGGGAGGAAAAAAGTGAGGGCTAGCTTCTTGACTTATTGGGAACCTGGGGCAATCTCCTTGCTTTCCTTGGGGCTCAGGGATTCCCTAGAGATTTCCCCATGCCACTGACCTGTCAGGGCACAAAGAACATGGAAGTAGTTAACAAAGGTCCAATCCTACAAAATCTCAAGAGATGATGGTTAAGCAATTGCATGAATTGGAGTAGAAGGGTGCCATATTAAGAAGCTATAGCCATTCAAAATGATACCTGAATTTGAGGTATGGTATGAATCTGGGGACTGGAATTTAAGATGCTGCATGAATATAAGGAGCATCCCTTATGAACTTGGCGAGGTGCTATGGGAAGAACACAAGACAGAGTCAGGAGCCTCTGGTTAAATCACCAGTCCTACAACCACAAGCATTTTAATGTCTTTGAAATTCAGGTTGCTCATGTAGAAAATGGAAATAATACTTGTACTGCCTCAGTCACAAGGAATATGCTTTATGAACTCTAAATATAGGACCAGGAACTCTAAATACATAATTGTGAACTCTAAATATGAGCTTCTAAATGTGAGCTATTGAGGTACACTATGAATTCAAGTCTCCAGGTAGCTATCTTTTTTTATTGGACTGATGATTTTATTGACCTATAGAGGTCTCCCAATGAGGGAATGCCTTCCACTGGTATAGATTGGCACTCACTCAGCATCTTGTGGTCTTAAGAGAGTTGCGTGGGGCACTGAAAGGTTCTATGATTTGCCCAGCATCACATAAACAGGATGTACCCAAGGCAAGATTTGAACCCAGGTCTTTCTAAAACCTAAGCCAACACTTTGACCCACTGGGGCACATCACTTCACCAATTCTCTTATGGTAGAATATGACCTTGTCAGAGATACAGGTCACATAGACTGTTCCAGGTATAAGTCCCACTAGTGACTGAGCTTGGACAGGCTGGGCAAGAGGATGGGGTGCTCTGAAAAAAAAAAAGATAATAGGGACTTGAGTTTGAATCCTGTCTCCTCCTGTCATCTGGCCCTAGGCTATCTCTAATAAGACTGTGTGGGGGGAGGTAGGGAGGTTTAAGGTAAAGGAAGATTGTCACATCCCCAGTCCAGGAAAGAGGTTAGATACTTGCTGAAATTGGGAACCAAAAATGATGTAGAATTTGAATACTTTAGTAGAATCTGTGATCTAAACACATTCCTAAGCGCATGAGATTCAGACTCTTGTTTTTTTTTCTTTAAGTTGTCTGTGATCAGGTCTTTGTGGCATTTAAATAGTTTGAGACATAATTTCTGGGTAATTAATCATTTCATTAATAATGCTAGCCCTTTATTGATAAAAGGGTTAGTGATACCCTCAAATACCAAAGACCTATCATGGTGGTGGGCTTATAGTTTATATGCCCTTGGAAGAGTGGGTGTTCCTGAGGGTGGCAATCAATTCTGATTGGTTAACAATTAATGAAAGAATGAATATTACAATGGGGGCTGGACCTATTCTGAGCATGAGGAAGTGGGTCACCAATTAAGATCTATCCAAGATTGTCCTGGCAGTTTGGGAATCTCAGTGCCTCAAGCTGGGATAAACTTGCCAGTTAGCACAAGGTTTCATTTGCTCCTCTGTGAGCGTGTGTGTGTGTGTGTGTGTGTGTGTGTGTGTGTGCGCGCACGTGCATGTGTGAAGAAGAACTCTGAGAAGACACTCCCTCCACATTCCTATCCACAGATTGGAGTGGGGTGGAGTTCATGGGTGAGGAACACTGTATATAATGCATGTAACTTTTTTTTTTCAATGATCAGTTTTGCTGATTTTTTTTCTCTTTTCTTTTCTTTCTTTTGTTCTTTGTTTTCTCTTATAAAAATACTTTGCCATAAGGGATGGCTCTCTGATGGAGAGGAAAACGGGGATTCAGGAGAAAATCTAGACAATAGAAGAGCAAAAGATATCAATAAAATATATTTTTTAATAATCCAAGAGAGAGATGATTAGGCCCTAAACTAGGTTGGTGGCCTTGGCAGTGGGAAGGAAGGCTTAGATAAAGATATTACAGGGGTAAGACTCAATTTCAACTGACTGGTGGAGACAGAAGGTACTTTGGTATTTATTGAGATACAAAATCTTCAACAGTAAAGGATCACAGGGACCGTAGACACCATCTTGACCAAGAAAGGACCTCCAATGTCATCTAGTCCAATTCCCTCACTGAGGCCTATATATGGGAAGTGACTTGCCCAGGGTCACACAAACAGCAAATAGCAGAGACAAGATCTGAAGCCAGGTCTTCTGAGTCTGAATCTATCCTCTAGATTTACCCAAGGTAGTACAGCTAGTAAATGACAAAGTTGGAATTTGAACCCAGTCTCCTGGTTCTAAATCCAATGTTCTTTCTACCATACCACACCGTTCCCCTCCATTCCTGGGCAATGTGGAACCTACTTCAATTCAAAGTGAGTGTATTATTGGTTAGCGCATTATCACCTATATTGACATTTGCACCATAAATGAAACCAGGAGACAACAATAAGTGACAGTTAAAAGAGGGGCGGCTCACAGGTTCTCCTTAGAGAAGTGATTGAAGGAATTTGTTGGCTGGTTGTTGGATTTGGTTTAATTGTGCACCCAAGTGCAACAAGAAACATCATTTCCTAGAACACTTGATCATCGTGGCTTGCCGTGCTCAGATCAGTATAAGCAAACAGACCACCAGAAAGATAATTGCAGCTTAGCAAGCTGTTCCCTGCCACAAAAACATCTTTTTAAGACCAAAATTCTCCTGGAGATGCTTTGTGACTAAAAGTCATGGAACGCAGTGATCTCAAAAGAATAAAGATTGCAGATGAACTGTAGGGCAATGGAGAGGTTAATGCTTTTAAGTAGATTGCCTACAATAAGTGACCTCAAAGACATAAACAAAGGGCCCTGTCCCTGGAAAAAAGAAGTAGACAGGGCAGGTAGCAGGAGTTATATATTGTCCAATTTAGTGTTCCACTGATGTTCTTGAAATATTAGGAAGGACCAGTAGAAGGCCTCCAATACAATAGGTCAAACCTCTGTGGGAAAACATGGACAAGAATTGCAAAGGGGAGAGCTTCCCAACATCCAAATGGACTAACTTGCAAAGTGGTGAGTTCCCTGCTACTGAAGGTATTCAAGTAGATGCTGAATGACCACCTGTTAGGCATGGTGTAGAAGAGATCCCTACATGGGCCGTGAGGTCAAACTAAATGACTTCAGGAGAGTAGAAATGGCGTTTTCTCTTCATATTGTCCTGACAGATGAGGTTACTGGGGAGAATTACAGTTAAAGTTTATGGAAGGCAAGGGCCATTTTGTTTTTGTCTATAAATTTCCAGAGCCTAGCGTGTCTGGTGCATTGTAGGTGTATAATAAATTTTTGGATGATTGTTTAATTTTGACCCATTTCTTTTGTTTTTACATCACTTTTGCTTCTGAGTACATCCCTCCCACCTCTCCTATCCATTAGCTATGCCTTGTAACAAAAAAATGTTAAAGAAAAAGAGGGAAAAAATCAGTTAACACAACCAACCAACAAAATCTGTCAATATAGTCAATAATTCCACACCCATATTCTCCCACCCCTGCAAAGAAGGAAAAGAGGGGGCATTTCTTCTATTATTCTCCAGAGTCAAGCTTCCTAGTCCTTATAACTACAGGTTCCACTTCCATTTTTTGTTTTGTTCTTTCTGTTTCCATTGTGGTAGCCATTGTGAATATGGTTTTCCAAATTCTGCTCACTTCATTCTGCATCACTTCATATAAGTTTACCTATGATTCTCCAAAAGCTCCATATTCATTGTTTGTTACAGCTTACATAATAATAGTGCTTAATAAATTCTTTCCGAATGAATAAGTCTGCATGTACATCCTAGGGTAACTCTCCTCTGGCATCCTAGGCACTGTCTAGAGCCCATTAGACAGCACTACCACTGTATTCCTTGAGGGGTTAAGGGAGGTAGCTGGTAGCACAGTGCTGGGCTTGGAGTCAGGAAGACCTGAGTTCAAATTTGGCCTCAGACACATACTAGCTGGGTGACTCTGGACAAATCACTTAACCTCTGCTTGCCTCAGTTTCCTCATCTGTAAAATGGGAATAATGATAGCACCTATCTCCAAGGCCTGTTATGAGTATCAAATGAGATAATATTTGTAAAAACATAGTGCCCAGCACATAGTAGGCATGATATAAATACTTATTCCTCTTCCTCTCCAAGAATCTCCTCACAAAAGTTACAAACATGCAATTATTAATCACTATTGCCTACATCATTCCATTCCATTCAGCAAACACTTATTAATTGTTCTTAGCACAGGGCTGGGCAATAGTAATATGAAGGTAAAGTACAACACCATCTGCCCTCAAAGAACTTAAATTCTACAGCAGCCAACATGAATTGTTCTGCCCAGTATTTGAGACACATTACAATATTCCCCCTCTAGTCTTGTTTTCTAATTTTCTCCCTGTTGAAATGTTGATTCCTGGAGCCAGGGCCGCAGTCTTGTTCTCTCCCAGGGGATGGAGGGGTGCGAATGCACCTGTCCCTGGCTGCTGCTGCCTCTGACCACAGGACTTTCAAGGGGTGGGCCTGAGACATGACACCTGTTCCATCTAGGCCATGGTTGCTGGACACAGTGGGTTGGGGAGGTTTCAGGTACCACAGAGCATGCCTGACTTCGTTTTGATACCAGACCCACCAACAGGAGCTCGACAAGAGCCCAACAGAGTTTCTTTTGCCAACAGAGATTTGGGGTGTGCAGAAACCAGAGACAGTTTTTTGCAGTTAACCATCAGGAGACAGATACAATGAAGAAGCAAAATACAAATAAACTGTGTAGAGACAAGGCAGGGTGGTATGTGGGTAAGGAGGGATGGTTTGGGAGTCAGAAGAGCTGGGGTTAAATTCCAATTCTGCTACGTACTACCCATATGACCATGGACAAGTCATTCACACCTCTGGTCCTTGTTTTACTCAACTG